TTCACTTGCTGCCTGATATATCCCACCCACTGACAGGTGCCATGATAACCAGATAATCAGTGTTATTCACTCCACCAATCAGAGGTCATAATGTCATGGGTGACCGGTCTTTCTTCTCTCCTTTTTAATAAATTAATTCAAGACAGGATGATACTATTTGTTAAATATGATCCAGAAACGTCTCACTTTGGTAATAACATTAAGAGCAAAGCATGGTGAGACTTACAAAACCCGATATAAATAAAGTGTTCAACTCATGTGTAATAAGTTTTGATGTTTTTGAATTATTTAAGGTTTTACCTAGCATAACATCAAATTATGGTATTCTGGAAATTTTAGATTAATTTAAGTGAACCATTGCTAAATTTGATCTGAAAAAAAGCCAGAAGCAGTTCTAAATAAAGAGCCGACTCTTATTGCTGTGACCTGACTCACTAAAAACAGTCAGAATTTGACTTCTACCGTGTGTTTGGCTTCTGTTTTCCTATTCCTTATCATTCTAACAATACATAGCTGGAATGGTGAAGTCCACTAGTAGATCCGAGTGCTGTAAGTGTCCTACTTTAAATGAAAGGCAAAGACAAAGGAAAAGAGAAGGGAGGGAGGTGATGAGAGTCTAGTTGAGAGAGAGAGCCCAAGAGAAAGAGGAAGTAAGAAAGAGAGAGAGACAGCATTCATTTATGGCTGTGTTACTGATAGAATGTCAGTTCCACTATGGTGGCATGTGAGTAAGGCACTTTTGTCACTCTTTCTTTCTGTTACATGAAACAGATCACACTTAAACACTCACACAGGCAGGTCAAGACTTTCCACGTACACACACACACACACACTGGGAAACTTACTCATACACTCATGCATATGGTCTTAAAGAGCAGGTGAACATCAGCAGTGATGTGTTTCTGCTAAATGTCTCCTCAGGAGGCTTTAAATATTCTATTAGCCTGCCTGTCATTGGCCAGAAGTGAGAAATCATAATGAAGTTTGGAGGAGGGATCATTATCTATTCATGTGACAACATTA